TGGAGGTGGAGGAGGAGGAGGAGGATCCCTCTTATATATCCTCCCTGCTGTTGTTGCTCCTCCCTGCTCCTGTTGCTCCTCCTCCTCCTTACTGCTGCTGTTTCTCCTCCTCATCCTCATCCTCCCTTCTACCCCGCCGCCCTGATGATGAGACCGATGACGAGGACGACGATAATGATGATGATGTTGGCGATGCTTCTGCTGATGATGCCGCTTCGGAAGGTAGTGACGACGACGATGCTGAAGACGACAACGAGGATGATAATGATGGTGATGTTGATTTTGATGTTCATGATGATGACGACGATGATGATGCTGATGATGATGATGACGATGATGCTGGCGAATGTGATGATGACGACGATGATGATGATGGTGATGATGTTGATCATGAAAATTATGATTACGATGGTGATGAGTTTTACGACGACGGCGATGCTGATGATGATGACCTCCTTGCTGTTGCTGCTGCTTCTCCTCATCTTCCTACTGCTGCCCCGCATCATCCTGCTGCTTTGCTGCAGCTCCTCATATTCCTGCATATCCTGTTGCTGCCCTGCTGCTGCTCCTCGCCCCCCCCCTTGTCCTGCTCCTCGACCTGGTCGCACCAGTGCCGTTTACAGGCCCAAGTATTGCACCGAGAGGCCTCTCCAGGATGACGAACCTCGCAGCAGCACTGACATTCCTGGAGTGCTTCCCTGGAGCCAAGGCATGGCACTTCACAGTCCTGGACGAGCAAAAGCATTGCATCACGAACACCCCGGCAATGGCCACTGACAAGTTGCGCGCTGCGTTGAAGACTTTCCTGGGCACGCACAGCGCGCATGTGTTCGTGAGGCCGTTGCTGGGCAACTTCGTCTTCCTTGATTTGGACGACTTCACGACCCATAACAAGGACCTCACAGAGGTGCTGAGTCTGAAGCCGCGGGCCCTCGTTCGCACAAGCCCCAACAAGTACCAAGCATGGTTGATCCTTCCAGAGTCGCTGGCATCCAGCCAAGCACCGTGGGCTGCTCGAGCCATGCCCGCCCACTTCAAGAGGGACGACCGCTCGCTGAAGGCAACCCAGCAGGGGCGCGTGCCAGGCTCCATGAATGTGAAGGCGGGCAAGGGGACAGTGACAGAGCTGGTCCACAATACGCCGGGGGCGACCTTGAACGAGGACGCCTTCTTCAAGATGGTGCCCAAGCAGAAGGTCCACATTCAGGGTGCCACGGTCGCTTCTGCGTCTGCCCCCATCGAGGAGAAGGCCGCGGCGGACCGGTCAGGCCAGGATTGGAAGCTCTGCTGCCAGTTATTCGAAGACCCTGCCGGTTACTCGTTCCAGATGGGCCTGCAAGCGTTGCTTCCGAAGATGACGAAGGCCCAGGCGAGGCCTGACTGGTGCGCCAGCCAGACGATCGAGAAAGCATTCCAAAAGGTCGGCGGGCATGCCGCCATTGCGGCGGACCCAGCCGCCTCCTCCTCCAAGCCCGCGGCCGCGGTCAGCCAGAAGGTCGCCCAACCGCCCCCCAGACCGGCTGAGAGCCAGCAGGTGCCGCCTCAGAGCGCCGCCCCGAAAGCGCCTCAACAGCCCGCGCCGTCTGGGGGCGCCCAGGCGCCAGGCGATGGCGGCAACCCACCTCAGGGCGACCGCGCGCCGTCCCAGGGCGCCGCCCCGGAGGCGCCTCCACAGCCAGCGTCGTCTGGGGCCGCCCAGGCGCCAGGCGAGGGCGGCCACGCGGCAGCGCCCGGGCAGTTCGCGTGCGTCGGGGACATCCAGGCGACGATCGGCGTCGCCTTGCAAGCTCGCCTTCCGCAGAAATCCCCCCCCCCAGCCACAGGTGATGCTCATTGTGCCATAAGCAATTCCCCCAGGATGGCTTCTACGGCGCCCAGTGGGCTGCCGACGACGCCGACCGCGCCTGCGAGGTTTGCAAGCCCTTGGACGAGGCGCAGCTGCGCCGTCTGAAGACAGCGTGGACGTGTAAGCAATGTGGCCCCACGAAGGCGAGGGGCATGTTCACGCCCGCCCGGAGACGCGCGGGGGAAACGCCTAAGTGCAGGGCGTGCACAAAAGGAAACGCCGTGGCGAATACGGTCGCTTTCCACGTCTGCTGCTCCTGCCAGCTCGAGAAGCACGCCGGCCAGTTCGCGCCCGCCCAGCGGACCAACCCGAAGGACACTACGCCGCCGCGCTGAAGAAGTTCCAGGAGAAGGGCAAGGACAACGTGGTCGACCACAACGCGAGGCGGGAGAGAAACCTGGACGCCGAGCTCCCCACGTGGGAGCGCAAGACGAAAGATGAGGCCACGCGGTGGATCATGCAGGCTGACGAGACGGCGTTGCCCTCCGAGTGCCTGCAGTCCTACCAGGCCTGCATCGCCCTGCGGGGCCGGCAAGAATGGTGGCTCAGCGCCCCCGGCCAGTCCAAGTCGGAGTTCACGGCCGCCGAGAAGCTCAAGCACCTCGACGCTGCTCACGCTGACCTGAGCCACCTGCGCGGCCGCGACGGCGTCGTCGGCGTCCTCGAGGGGGAGCTCGGAGACAGAGTCTGGCCTCACCTCGGGCACGACGCTACATTCTTCGTCTTGCGTTGCGAGGACCTACGAGGAGGAGGGGGGGGAGGGGGGGGGGGGAGGAAGAGCAGCGCAAGCAGCAGCAGCACGAGCGGCTGGGGCAGGAGGAGGTGGACGATGATCACAACGGCGATGCCGATGAGGAGGGGAGGGGGGAGGAGGAGGAGGAGGAGGAGGAGGAGGAGGAGGGGGAGGAGGAGCGGGGGAGGCGACGCTGATGATGAGGAGGAGGAGGAGGAGGGGGGGGAAGGAGGGGGGGGGGAGGAGGAGAGGAGGACGGAAGAGGAGGGGGAATAGTGGGGGGGTGGTAGGAGGAGGGGGGGGGGGGGGGGGGGGCGAGCAGCTGGGGGGGGGCGACGAAGACGAGGGGGAGGGGCCCTCACGCCCTCGCAGGATTGTCACGCACGGAGCACGCGGGGCACCGCCGACTCGCAGCCGAGGCACTTGCCAAGGCCGAACTCCACCGGATAAGTGGTCGGCTGGGACCTGAACAAGAGAACCCCGCTCAAAGGTCACCCCTGGGTGATGCTGCTGGCGGTCGACTTCGCCAGCAACAAGGCGTTCGCGTGGGATCTGGACCAGGGCCAGATCAGCCTCCAGCGCGTGCTGTCTATCATGCTCCGCTTCGCGCAGGACCAGGACCTCGCGTCCGTGGGGTAGACAGACAACGGGGGCCAGTCCAGAAACGTCGTCGAGGATGCCATGCACGGGGCGTTTGGCGTCAAGGCGGGGCGCGCCCCCCCTAGGCCACCCACAGTCCAACGGACAGGTCGAAGTGCACAACAGTATCCTGGACTTCATGCAGGGTGGCCAGCGGGACCGCTTGGTGCCCGCAGCGATTGCCTTCGACGATTGCCGGGGCAGGGGCAGCCAGCCCGCGCAGGAGACGATCTGGCGCGCCCTCCGCCCTGCAACCAGCAGGTGGCAGCACGCGGGTACTAAGGCGCTCGCCCGCAGCAAGCAGCCCATGACGGGCGCGGAGTGGGGGACCTTCCTGGAGCAACACCAGAAGATCACGGGCGAGGGCGCGGATCCACGAGCATTTTGTGACGAGGTCGATGGGGGGTTGCAGGGAGCGCGCGATGCCATCGCGGCAAGAGGCGCCGTCAACAGCTCAGTCAACGCCCCGAGCGGGAAAAGAGGGCTAACGCCGAGGGCGCCCGCGCGCCCGCGTCGGGCGACAGGGCCATCTGCCTCGACGCGCAGCGCGCGTCCAAGGCCGGGGGCGCGAAGTTCCAGCACGCTGGCGGCGAGCGTCGGGAGTGCCTGGTGCGACAGGTCAGTGGCGGCTTGGCGGAAGTGGAAGAAATCGGCACAGGCGTCGTCTCGACCAAGCACGAAGCGCAGCTGAAACTCATGCCGAAAGCCGTGCAGCCCGACAAGCAGAGCGAGCTCGGGAAGTGGAACGACTCGAGCCAGCCGCGCGCGTTGGGCACCCGCGCAACGGCGTGGCTTCGGGCAGACGGGGAGAAGCGGCGGATCTTCGCAGTGGAGCCCGACGGCGCCTGCTTCTACCGGGCGGCAAGCGTCGAGAGGACAGGCGCGTTCTTGGATGACGGCCAGGAGAGCATGGCTTTGCGCCTCAGGGCCATTGGGGCCCAGGGCCCACACACAGGGCGGGGGGGGGGGGAGGGGGGCGAGGAGGGGGAAGAGGAGCAGGAGGAAGGGAGGGGGCGGAAGAGAGATGAAGATCGATGGCGGGCCTCGGCAGCGTTCGGAGCCTCGGGTCATCGAGTGCGCCGAGAAGTGGCACCGCGAGTCGCCGCCCAAGCGGAAGAGGCTCTTGCGCGCGCAGATCACGAGGGGGATGGAGGAGGGCCCCGCGTGGATGGAGCCCCACGCTGCGCAGGACTCATCCGACTTCGACATGGGCGCGTATTTCGAGTACCAGCAGAAACCCTGCACATTCGCGACTTCCTTCAACGCGGCGGCACTCGCGAGGCTCGCGCTTCGGGCCATTCAGCGGTGAGTTGGCTCGAAAGCACAAACCGCTATCCTCGCGGCTCCTGCGCGAGGATAGCGGCTTGTGCTCTCGAGCCAACGCGCCGCTGGATGGCCCGCGTTTTAAGGTTACCGACGCTCTCCGAGCACATCCATCATCGCCGGCGTCTTCGCCGTCGTCGTCGCCCTCTGCCCCCGGAGAGTGGCGGACGCACGGGGAGAGGAAGTGCGGGGGGGGGGGGGGGGGGGGGCAAGGCGGGGAAGAGAAGGCCAGGGAACGAGGAGGGGGGACGGGGAGGCGGACGGAGGGAGGAGGAGAAGGAGGAGGAGGAGCATCGTCGTCGACGGTGTCTTCCCCGTCGTCGCCTCCCTCTGGGCGTGGCGTTGTGCTGCAGTGCTTCAGTTGGCCGAAACGGGCGTCTTCGTCGTCGCCGCCGTCGCCGCCGCCCGCCGCCGCCGCCGTCGTCGTCGTCGTCGTCGTCGTCGTCGTCGTCGTTTTCCCCCCCCCCCCCCCCCTCCCCATCCGGGGGCGGGGGGGGGCGAGGAATCCTGGGGCCATGCCGCCTGGGCCATCGGGGGGAAGGGGGGGGGGGGGCGTGGGCCGGGGCCTTGGATCGCATGTGCCACCAGCCAGCTGCGCGGGGCCCACCCGGGCCAGGGGGGCGGGCGGGGTCGGAAACTGGGGGCGGCCCAGGCAGGGGGGTAGTAAGCTAGAAAAAAATGCGTTTTGAATATATATATATATATATAAGTATATATATATATATATATATATATATGTCGGCGGTGCCCGGTGCGGAGCGAACCCCCCCCCCGGCAATCTCTCCTGGGGGGTTTCGAGCTGGCGCCATTCCCGGCGCGAGCCTGCGCGAACCCCCCCCGGTAAACACGACCTCCTCTGGCAGGCTGCACGAAACCCCCCGGTAAGGACGCAGCCCCTCCGTAAGCGGCGCGCTCCCAGCGCGCGCGAAACCCAGCCCCGACGCGCGAATCTTACCAGGACGGGCCGGAACACGGCGGCGGCGTTGCATCCCAGGGCCGTGCCGGAACACGGCGGCACTAGCAGCTGTTCTTCTCTACGCGGCCGTGCCGTCGACCCCCCACAGCGGCTCTCGGGAGTTGCGCCGCAGCCTCTCGCACTGTGGCCACGAGCCACAACGCGAGAGGCTGCGGCGGAACAAAGGCGAGCAGACGCGAATAGAGAACACAAGGCGAGCACACGCCACACTTCGAAAGGGAGCCACCCTTCCCAGCCGCCCCCCTGCCCCCCCCCCAACCCACCCCCCACTCCCACCCCCCCCACTCCCGCAGGTGGGTGGGGGGGGGGGGGGGGGGGCAGGTAGACGCAGCGGCCTGCGCGAACCCCCCCGGTAAAGCGGCAAGGGGGGTGTGTTCTAAGCCGCTGGCGGCGCCCGGTGCGGGCTGCACGAAACCCCCCGGTAGTGCGCGAACCCCCCCGGTAGCGCCGGGGGGGGGGAGGTTCGTGCCACGGCGCACCGCCGACATATATATATATATATAATATATATATATATATATATTATATGTATAATCACCAGCTGCACGGGGCCCACCTGGGCAGGGAGCGGAGGGGGCCCGACGGACAGGCCACAGCCTAGGGATAACATGTCAGGGCACCAGCGCGCGAACGTAACAATATCAGACGATGATCTCTCCTTTCCAGCAAGGGCGGCAGCGCGAGTCGCCCGACCCAGAGTTGCTTCAGATGCGGCTGTGCACGGGCCTCTTCGAAGGCCCCCGGCATAAGAGGCCCGCGGCGCCAGGGGGGGTGGAGAGGGGGGGAAAGAGAGCGAGAGAAAGAGAGAGAGAGAGAGAGAGAGAGAGAGAGAGAGAGAGAGAGAGAGAGAGAGAGAGAGAGAGAGACAGAGACAGAGACAGAGAGAGAGAGAGAGAGAGAGAGAGAGAAAACAAACAAAGAAGGAACAACAAAAAAAAGAAAGAGAGAGAGAGAGAGAGAGAGAGAGAGAGAGAGTGAGAGAAAGAGATATATATATATATATATATATATAGACAAACACACTAAAACGAAGACGGCCCAGGCAAGGGGATTCCAAGCTAGATGAAAGTGCGTTTTGAATGCATAAATGCATCGCCAGCGGCGCGGGGCCTTCCTGCCCGGGCCAGGAGCAGAAGGGGGCCCGACGGACAGGCAACAGCCCAGGGAAAAAAAGTCAGCACCAGCGCGCGAACGTAACAATATCAGACGATGATCTATGCTTTCCAGCGAGGGCGGCATCGCGGGTCGTCGGACCCAGAGTTGCCTCGGAAGCTGCCGTGAGCGGGCCTCTCCGAAGGCCCCCGGCATAAGGGGTCCGCGGTGCCTGACCTGCAGGGCCCCCGCGTCGCGGGGCCCCCTCAAAATGCGCGCCGCACAGAAGCTGACCCCCTCGCCAGGGGGGGCGGGCCGGGCCGAAATTTCACGCGCGCGAGGGGGCGAACGCGAGAGGGGGGGGGGGGGGAGGGGGGTATTAAGCTGGATAAAGTGCGCATTGAAAACATATTTGCACCACCAGCTGCACGGGGTCCGACGGACAGGCAACAGCATAGGGATAACAGGTCAGAGCACCAGCGCACGAACGTAACAATCTCAGACGATGATCTCCCCTTTCCAGCAAGGGCGGCAGCGCGGGTCGTCCGATCCAGAGTTGCTTCAGGGGCTGCCGTGCACGGGCCTCTTCGAAGGCCCCCGAACAAGAGGTCCACGGTACCTGGCCTGCAGGTCCGCCACGTCGGGGGGCCCTCTCAGAATGCGCGCCGCACAGAAGCTGACCCCCATCGCCAGGGGGGGCGGGCGGGGCCGAAACTTTGCGCGCACGAGGGGGCGAACGAGAGAGGGGGGGTGAGAAATGGGGGCGGCCCGGGCAGGGGGGGATGAAGCTAGAAAAACATGCGTTTTGAAAACATAGAGTCGTAACGAGCTACGCGGGGTTCACCTGGGCCAGGCGCAGAGGGGGCCCCGCGGACAGGCAATGTCCTAGGGATGACAGGTGGGAGCACCAGCGCACGAACGT